GCAAAGTTTTCATAAAAGTGTTTACAACCTGGAATGTCAACTGAGAAGTGAGGTCAACCTCAAGGCATTAGCAACACCAGACACAGACTTTGGTCACTATGGACTTTTATCCAGCTAACCCTCACTTTTATACCTGAAAACACACTACCTACCATGGCTAAAACATGTTACCCCCCATGCTTTTAGTCTCTTCTGAGTTTGATCAGATACATTACAGCCTTTCTGGAACAAGGAAGAGTGGAAACACTCAAAAAAGGGTGAAGAAATCAAAAGCAAAGCAACTTCCTGATTTACAAGAGAATACCACTGGTCAGGTTGGCCCCTCCTCCTCCAATGACAAGCAATTCACAAGGGAAATGCCATCACAGATTTGCAAGAATTGGATTTTGGATGGCCAAACTGAGGGAAACCCAGAACGAGGAGCTGGCTTTGGCAAGAATTCTCTCATGAATCAGGGCCTGACAACTGAAATAGGGCTGATACAAAGATAACCTTCCTCCAGGGGTTGCTGTCTTATCAATTACCCACCACTGAATTTTACCACAGCTTTAGTCAGACAACAGACAACTAAAAAAGCTCTGAGAAGGCAGAGTAGGTGGTGTGTTTGCAGACATTTATTGGACCTTGCACTCATAACCACCGTTGTGCACCATTTCCCAGCTCCTGATTTTCAGAGATATACCATAGATGAAAGTCCTGTGGCAATAGCAGCTTGTGGTTACAAGGGAAACAGGGTCAAGAGAAGTGTATCCTTTTCCAAATCCCTTGTGCTATTCAGCAAACAGACTGGGAAAAGAGCTGTGACTGAAGAAATGAGTTAACTCTGGGGAGAAAATAGAGAAGTCTGTCCAGAACTACAGTGAGAAATGCATCATCAAGAGTGCTGTAATGGACATGCCTTGCACATTACAAAGCATGGCTTGATGCTTAAGCCTTCCTGCTCCTGACAGTCTGCACATCCCTTCAGACTCAGGGCAAGGAGCATGACTTGGGTGTATGGTACATAATACCCAGTGCTATATGACCCAGATCGTTATGCAGATCACTTCTAGAGCACATCCAGCACAAAACAGTTCCTATGGCTGTTTAAAAAGGAGGGAGGTAGCAGCTAGACAACCTCCTCCAAAAATATATCAAGAGGTATACGTTTTAAAAGGATTTTGGTATGCTCACGTAGATCTAAGTTTTATGAATGCAGGTGATAGAAGACTCTACAGCACTATCAAACTAAAGATATAAATACCCACTGTCTTGAAAAACATGTTCTGTTGTAGCTCTCACTCTGTCATATTTAAGATTGATGACAGCTTTCTTCTAGAGTTGCTGGTCATAAAGTCTGCTCCATGTTTTTGAGGAGAACTAGCAAATTTAACATTTGGAACTCTTGCTCAAGTGTAGGTAACGTCACAGGGACCAACCTCTATAAAATCCATATTGAGCTCTGCAGTGTCACCTCTGTAGTTGGTTTTGCTCTAATAAATGTGATCAGTTAGCTCACCACATTCTAAGGAAGTGGCAACATAAGACATGCAAGAAGTGCTTAAACAAGTGTAGAAGAAGAAGTGCTGCTGATGTATCTGCCAAAACAACAGCTTGTGGCTGAACTTCATTTTGGCTATTTGCAGATCCTGGATGGGCAGTTCCTTAGAAGACAACAAAATTGAGGGAGCATTCAGCTTCTCCTTCATCGTCTTTGGGCCATGATAATGCAGCTCAGTAATCTCCTGCTACTTGCCTCCTCCCAAGGGCACAGCTCCCATCAGCTCCCAGTGCGCACTGTGGATGCTCACAGGTGGAAGATGCTCACAGTATCTGCTCATGATGCTGCCAGGCTGCACAAATGTCCAATGGGGCACAAGGTTTGTTTTGGAACAAATACTCAGGAGAGGAACTAAAGGCAGCAGAATGCCAGTGATGGATTGAAACAGCCTGTGTCTTCTGCAATGAGCAGCACTTCAAGCTTCAAAGAAAAATGCAGGGAATCATAGAATCATTTAAGCTGGAGTTCTGCAGACAAGTGCAGAACAAATTGCCTGAGGAGAAATTACTTTTTAACTTTCATAGGCTGTATGAGTGACTTATGATGACCAGAATGGCAATTCATGTTTCTTCTTGTATATTCCTTTCAGTTTCTATTCTGTGCTTCTATAGATAGCATAGAATCATAGAATCATAGAGTGTATTGCATTGGAAAAGTTCTCTAGTTCCACCCTCCTGCCAAGGGCAGGGACACCTTCAACTAGACCAGGTTACTCTAAGCCATGTCCAATCTGGCCTTGAATACTTCCAGGGATGGGGCATCTACAACCTCTCTGGGCAACTTGGACCAGTGCCTCATCACCCTCACAGTAAAGAATTTTTCCCAATATTTAATCTAAACTTACTCTCAGTTTAAATTCATTGTTCTTTGTCCTGTCCCTCCATGCCCTTGCAAAGAATCTCTCTCTATCTGTCTCGTAGGCTCCCTTTAGTTACTGGAAGACTGCAGTTAGGTCATACAGAAGCTTCTCTTCTCCTGGCTGAACAATCCTAATTCTCTTAACCTTTCCTTACAGCAGAGGTGCTCCATCCTTTTAATCAACCTGATGGCCTCCTCTGGACTCACTCCAACATGTCCATGTCCTTCCCATGCTGGGGGCCCCAGAACTGGAGGCAGCACTGCAGGTGGAGTTTCACCTGAGTAAGAGTCATTCTGACCCTCTGAGGGGCAGAGGGTCAGAATCCCCCCCCTCACCTGCTGCCCACACTGTGGGATCAGCCCCAGGGCATGGGGGGTTTCTGTGCTGCCAGCACACATGGCCAGGGCATGTCCAGCCTCTCTCCCAGCAGTACCCCAATTCCTCCTCCCCAGGGCTGCTCTCAATCTACTCATCCCCAGCCTGGATTGATTCTGGGGGTTGCCCCGACCCAGGTGCAGTGCCAGCACTTGGCCTTGTTAAACTGCATGAGATTCCCAGGGGCCACTTCTTGAGCTTGTTCAGGTCCCTCTGGATGACCCTGTCCTTCAAGTATGTCACCTGCACCCTCAGCTTAGTGTCATCTGGTGAAGGTGCCTTTGATCCCTTTGTTGATGTCATTAATGAAGATATTAAATAACAGATATTGATAATGATTGATAACAAAGATATTAAATAAAACTGGTCCCAATACAGACCTGTGAAAGACATAAATATCCCTGTATCAATACTCTATCTCCTTATCTCATATAAGCCACACATATCCAGGAGTCCCTCATTCTGTCCATCCATCCCTAGGTCACACTGACAACTGAAAGGTCCCCAGACAGCTTTCTTACCCATGAGTCCACGACTGAAACCACCCAGCCACTACCAGACAGGTATTAAAACAAGTTTCCCTATTGCCACTTCAAGATATGTTTGAATTGTTTTTATACTTCTTGTGATAGTTCAGACCCGGCTCCCTACCAAATGCCCAAGCTCACAGTAACAACCCCCTCCCCCTCCCTTATTGTCTTAGGGCAAAGGGAAAAAACTATAAAAATTGAAGAACCCAAAACCAATTGAATTATATCAAAATATATATTTTTACATGTATCACAGTTATATAGAATAAAAATATTATGTACACAGCAAAGGGACCCCAAACACTCCCCGAAGGGAAAGGGGGAAAAGAGACAAAAAGAAAACTAAAACAGATATGCACAATAGAAACACGGGAACAGCTCAATAAAGAACTAAAAAAGGAAATCTTACTACTCTCCTTGAGATAGTAGAATTGCACCAAATGACCACCGTCACTCTCTGCCTCCCAAGGCCTACAGGACCTCACTAGGCCTCACTCCTCCACATGGGCAGAACCGACAGCAGAGAACCTGCACCTTCAGATCCACCGGAAGAGAGGAGGGAAGAGGCTTCTCTCCCTTCTTACTTATACCCTGGCTTACGTAAAAATCATATGGAATACTGGGAACATGTTCCCTTCCTTGGTTACGAGCTGGTTGCCAGGAAGGCCTAGACTAAAACGATCACACTTCTTCTAATTCTTTAATTTCTTTTGAATCCTCCTAAACTTTTGCTGAGAAAAGCCAAAGACTGATGTTGTATTGTGTTAAAACAATTTTCTCACAGTTGTTTTCAAAACTGCTCCTCTCCTATATGAGACTGTAGGACTTTAAAGGTACAGAAATACTACATGAAAAACAGTATCATCTTCCCTTGAAGCATTAAAATAAAGAATTGTGACCAATCTTTGGCAAAACAGAAAAGAATCCAATAAAATTTACACAGGTTAGACGCAGCAGTAACAGAGAGGTAACATTTATATTAAACACAGAGCCTTGCATTTTCAAATTCCTCATTTTTTCTGATTTGCACAATTCATTTGGGACACAATTTAATAATTTTCTTACCATTTGGCCAATCTCCTTCCAAGCGTTGTGGACAGTCCCAAATAACTAGGTAACCAAAGCATTTATCAATCTTTATCTGTTCCTTAACTCTTGCTGTGTGTCTGCTGAATAAAAGCAGATGATGCGGCATTCCCTGGATAAAACAGCCTTTGCTTTTCATTTAAATGCTTAGCCTTATTGCATGGTTACAACTTTAGAAATGGTACAAAACATGAGCATTTGTAGGAATCAAAAGCAGCCAAAATTCACATTTGTTTGAACTGTCACAAAAACCTTGTCCACTCAAACACACTAGGCGCATTTATGAAAAATGAGCACCAAAGCCCAAAGGCAGAGGCAAGCATTCTGCTTTTTGGTGACACAGTGGTACTCAGGATGCAGGTTTGGAGTAGAGGGGCACTGCCTTGGAGTGAAGGGATGGATATTTCATTTGTTGGCTACAAGCAAACACAAATGATTTACACAAGACTTTCAACTAACTTTCAACAGAGCTGCTCTGAAACCCCATTTTAAATGAGACTTTTGAGCAAATGACTCCACATCTAACACAATTCTTCCATAAAGGGCCTCTCCCTACAATGTGCAGTAATAGACAATTCATGTCACTTAGCAGTGTTGGAAGATTGCTTACCTGTGACTATAGGATAGGACTGAGGCCCAGGAACACTCGCTCCCAAATCTGCAGAAGTAGGGCTGGTTATATTTGCCTTCATGTCATCCAATCCACTAGCTAGTGAGGCCATGGCTGAGTATTCAGTTGTCTGGAAGAAGAAGCAAAAGGCATTTTAGTGATAATAAATTTACTATTCAAGAGCTTTTGCCCGTGCAACAGAAAGTAGGGGCAATGTAGAACTCAAAAATCCTTTGTTCTGCCAGTTTTAAAGGCAATGCCCAGTTACACAGGGCTTTTCAGCACTCAGTCTACTCACTAAGTGGGTCGGCGCTTATCAGTACTGTTCTTAGAGAACACCACAATGGGCTTTCTTTATAAAACCAAAGCCAAATTCATCAATATGTAACAAGGTGGTCTTGAAAGTGGAAATTCTGTAGAATAACTTGCCAAGTGCAAGTTACTTGCTTGTTAGAGAAAAATTGGACTGTTAACTGAACTCTCCATATTTCATTGGTGGTACTTGAAGGGACATGCACTAACAAGAAGGGAGGAATGGGGTATTCCATTTCCCCCCTTTTCTTGGGAATGTCACATTTCTTCGTCTCACAAGAAAGTGCACATGTATATCAATGTTTGCTTAATATATGCATTCATAGCCAACTCTTCCTAAATCCAAATTCTTTAAAAATAAGTCACCTGACTGTAGTAAGGACGCTGTCTCATTTCAAGAGAATTTCTTAATTTCATTAGCCAAAGGTACAGTAAATGAGCACAGGTCCTTAGAAATCAGACCATTTATGTCCTATAACTGTTGCAGTCTTGGTAGCTACTGCATTGTACAGCCAGTGAGGCCAGTTTAGGGGATGTACATGTATATGGCACAAAGCTTATCTTCATTTATCTTTTTCCCATTATTTCTTATAGTCAGAATCATTGTCACAAAACTGGGAAGTTTCCTTTTAAAGTTCTCCCCTCTCTGCGCCTATTTGCCCTTTAAGTTTTCATCCCTTATTTGTGAGATAGCAATCATGCCCATAAACAAGTGGAGGATGATGATTTCAAGATAAGAATGGCAATAGGAACAGATAAACTAAAGAGCAACCACTATGAGGCCAATCCCTGCTGAATTCCTGAAGATTAAGTCAATGCAGAAGCTGTGCAGAGGTGAAGAAATGCTTAGGAAACCAGGACCACATAGGGGTTTTTTTGAGTGACCAAAACAAAACAAAACAAAAATCAGAGTATCACAGAATCCTAGACTGGTTTGTGTTGGAAGGGACATTAATGACAATCTTATTCCAACCCCTGCCACGGACAGGGACACCTTCCACTACATCAGGTTGCTCAAAGCTCCATCCAGCTTGGCCTTGAACACTTCCAGGGATGGGACGTCCAAAAAAGTTTAACTTTTTTTTCAAGGAAACAAACTCTATCTGAGTGAGTACATCTTTCTCCCCCTTGCAAGTTTGTCCAAGAACCCAGCACACAATCTGATGCTTGCCACTAACACAACACTTTGGGTCAAATATACCTGTTAATGTCTCTGTTGCTCACCTCTCATTCAAACAGAAGTTAATTTACCTGGATAATCCTGTATTAGCAGGTCTGTGTAATAAACATGTATTTTCTGCAGTACAGCCTGACACCTTGAAGGCTTCCCTGTATAGATCCCTTGCATCTGTGTGTGCTAAATACATTTTGCCAGGGACCAGCACCTGGCCACCCTTGTCCTGCAGCCAGCCCATGGATCAGAGCCGTCTGACTCATCTTGTAGGCTCCTCCTTAATCTTTGCATTAAAGTTGTCCTGTTCCTCAGTCCTTTTAGCTCATTCCTTCTCTGACACCCTCCATGCCCTCATGTTTGCCTTCCCTTCATGCACCCAGCCCCTTTCATCTACAGCCAGTGCCTCAAAGACACCCAGACCTCTGCATCATCCCTCACTTCTGCCCATTGCTGAGGCTGGGCTTAGGAGCATCCTCCTCTGAGTAGGGGGCCAGTGAGGGTTCCAACCTTCCTTCTTCCTACAAGTGCAAAGAAACCTGCTTCTTTTGACTCCACATCACACCAAGGTGCATTTCTCAGTCTTCCAACACCACTCCAAGCTCTCCTACATCTCGAACCCCGCCTTCCCTTATTCAGGGTACATGCACATGTGGCGACACTGATGGGTTCTTTCTGTCCCTAAAACCCTGATCTAATAAGACACCAGACAAACAACAGCCCTGCAGAGGCATTCCAAGCAACTGATGAGGCATGAGCATGGATGGGCTGGCAGCACAGCAGAGGGAAAACCTGTCTTTGTGTCCTGTATTTGGTAGTTCTGATATCTGGAGAAGAGCACACATCAGTTCCTGGGTAAGGATGACTGATTTCACCATGCTGTTCTATGAAAACCACAACCCCACCATATTCAGACTGGAAAATCTATCTGTACTCTCCCATGAGGTACTGATCCACCACCCTCAGTGAGCAGGGAGTGAGTGTGGCTTCCCAGTTACAATGTGGGAGCTACAAACTTTTATTTGGGAGAAAGCATCCAGCTGGGATGGGACTCCTGCCACAGGCTGGGTCATGCGAGGCAACTGGGCAGGGGGTTGCACATCCAAACCCTGCCACCAAGAGTAGCTTTTGGAACTGCTGATCCTTGCACAAACCCAACTGGAACCAGCCTGAGTACCTGCCTGCAAACCTCCAACAACTCCAAGTTTGTTTCCCTTCAAAGGTCCAAGGAAGTGTCCTGGGGAAAGCATGACCAGAGTTAAAAGTTCTAACTGTAATGACCTGGAAACATCATGCAACGAGCCATGGGCTGGTCCTTCAAGCTCAGAGAGACTAACCAGTTCCAGTATCAGAAGCAAGCAGTGATCAGGGTGTAGCACACCCTGTCAGAGGTCAGGACAATGGTACCCCATGCTCATTTATGTCACTGCACCACAGAGAGTTTGAGCAATGTCAGCACCACAGCTCCAAACTGGGGAACCACATCTGTGGACTGCAGGGACTGGAAGCATTGTGGTTGCTCAGCACAGTGTGGAGGGAGAGCCTGCAGTCAGGCAGCACTGTGGTAGGAACGAGAAGGCATAAGGTAGAGATGTGCAAAATGGAGATCTGGAGTCCATCCCTACTTTTGGTCCAAATAATTTGTTGCAGACAGGAACTGCACCTCTTTTACAATGGCCCAGTAACATTTTCCTAGAGGTAAGAATAGCAAGATTTTCAGGGATTTTCCAGATGCTTTCCAGCACCCAGATCACTCCTTGAAGCCACCAGCAACTGAACACCAGCAGCCATATGGACCAGGTACCAACCACTGCTTCCAGCACCCAGGTGGACAGAGTCCAGGCTGAGGGGCAGCCTGAGTTAGCTGCTGACCCCCATCTGCTTATGCAGTCCCAGTGGAGGACTGACCATTACTATCACATCCACCTCTGCAGTAGCAGTTCCCACTGCAAAGCAGAGGGAGCATGGTCAGGGCCAGCACCAGACTGGCACAGTGCCTGTGTTCAACACTTGGCTGTGGGCAGAGAAGGAGACACCACTGCCAATGGTGAGACACTGTGGAGAGGCGACAGTCAGCAAAAACATCTTCTGGCCCATGAGGAGAGAAGAACCACAGGTGCAGAGCAGAGGAGCCTTCACCCTAAAAACAACTAGTGTGTGCTGCCTGCAGCCCTCCTCACCCCATGGAGGGGTGAGGGGACCCCCGTACCCCATGAAGAAGCACAAGCCTCTCTGTCACTGTGGCTTCACAATGCTGGGTGTTGACCCAGTCATGAGGGGTAGAGCAGTGTCCCCTCTTCCTGCACCCCCTAGATGGAGCTCTTTCTTTCAGGTAGCCCATCCGGAGAGGAGAAGAAACCCCAGGGGGAGGCAGTGCTCATGGAGCAGTCCCTCACCCCATGGTCCCATTGAGACCCTCCTGCCAAACCTCCCCAGGAGCTTCTCCAACTGGTCTGTGAGGGGCAGCAGAAGGGTCTCAGACTTGGCTCCTGCACCAGTGAGCTGGCACTGCTGCTGGTGAGAAGCAGCCCAGAATGATGATCATGGCCAGGGGTCCCTCCTCGTGCAGCGGGAAGCCTGACCTTCTGCTTGGTACGTGAAAAAGCAAGAGTCGGGTGTTCAGTACCCTAGAAATTACCTGAAAAATGACTGCCTGCGGTTGTACCACGCACTGTCTCATCAGCATGGAGCACCACTGCCATAGCATGGAGGAGAGAAAACACAGACATGTGAAACGAGGAATATATAAAGGAGAGAATGAGAAGCTCAAACTGAAAGGAGGAGCAAGACCAGATCTCGTGTGTCTCCCCTGCCCCATCCCACTCAGTTCTGCCAGACGAGACCTGGAGTCTGGCGAGGGATTGGTTGAGGTGGTGAGGAGAGGGGTGATCTCTGCGCACCTTTGGGCAGCAGCAAATGGGCAGCAGGGTTTGCACAGTCCCTCCCCACCAGATTTCTCTGCAAAGTGCAAACAGGAAGATTTCTGCTCTGAGTAAATTTTTACATCCACCACCACTACAAAGGCTTTATGTCTAAATACTAACCGCCTGGAGAGGAGAAGGTAGTGAGCAGATGGAGGGAAAAGGGGTGCAAGAGGGTTTCAGGATCATTATCAAATCTGCTGCACTACAGTGAAACAGAGAGACAGACCATCATCAGCTTCACCCTGTACTTTTCCTAGTGAAGGTGCAGAAGTGTAACCCATTGCAGAGTCAACAGTTACGGAAATTTTCTCTTTAAGATTTACCTGGAATTTTGTCTTAAATGGTTATGCAAAGATGGTCATACAGTACAGAACAAGATCGTTCCCTGAAACAGCCTGGTTCTAGAGTGCCAATGTGGGAAAATCAGGGAGCTCCCACTGGTTGGGATGAGACCTGCAGCAGCACTGTGACCCAGGTAGTGAGATAAATGCATCCCTCTTCTGCCCTGTCCCTTTTTCAGGGCACAGACCTTGTACCCCTCTTGAAGCGATTGCACTAAACAAAGACAGACAAGAGCTGTCTGCTGCACAGGG